GGGAAGATAGAATTGTTTTTTTCCCAGCTCTTTGTGCCAATGGGGTATATTGTAAATTCTTAACATTTTTCACCTTTATTTTTTCAGATCAGTGTAATAGTACAATAAGGGAAAGACAAGAGAGTTCTGGGTGTAAAGAAGATAATGCCTATAAGTATTGAGCCCTTCAAGGAGAAAAAAAGAGTAGGATGAATGGATTTAAGTCATGATTCTACATAAGGACTGGTAGAGTTGGAACAATAGAGTGCGTTGGAAAGAAGGGATGCTGGTCAGAGAGGTGTATGCATGGAACAAAGACGTGGGACAGTTGTCATAGCTGGAAATGACAAGGTTGAGGTGGAGCCATGGGGATGAGTGACTGTAGCAGGTGAATTGACATCAACACTGGAAGAGAGTCATACAGCAGTTGAGAGGCCAAGAGGGGGAAGAATAATCTACACAAGTATATCAGAATTGTCTAGCACATAAAACAGATCTAGTATGCTAGAGAGAGTATAAGTAGCCCAGAAGTAAAGTGGTTAAAAAATGACCTACATATATTTTTTTTGAATTTTAAATTTTTTTTACAAATAGTTTATTGTCAAAATAGTTTCCACAAAACACCCAGTGCTCATCCCCACAAGTGCCCTCCTCCATGCCCATCCCTCCTCCCCCCCAACATCCATCAGTCCTCAGTTTTTGTCAGCATTCAAGAGTCTCTCATGGTTTGCCTCTCTCCCTTTCCCCCACCATTTCCCCCCTTCTTCTCCCCCTTGTTCCTCAGTTAAGTTCCTCCTAATCCTCCTATACGTGCAAACATATGATATTTGTCCTTCTCTGCCTGACTTATTTCACTCAGGCTAATACTCTTAATACGCTAAGAGTTCTTATTATATAAGTAGTAAATTTNGTTAAGTTCCTCCTAATCCTCCTCTACGTGCAAACATATGGCATTTGTCCTTCTCTGCCTGACTTATTTCGCTCAGCATAACACCCTCAAGGTCCATCCATGTTGCTACACATGGCCAGATTTCATTGTTTCTCATTGCCATGTAGTATTCCATGGTATAGATAAACCACATCTTCTTGATCCATTCGAAAAATGACCTACATATTTTTACCAGATTAATTATAGAGCCAAAAGTCTTGAACCTTATTTTCTATACTTCATTTACTAACTATGTAACCTTGTAAAAATTCTTTCTCTGAGTGTTAGATGTCTCATTTTTAAAACGAATATAAGAAGAGCTATCTTGCATTCCAGACATTTTTTTTTAGATGAGAGGAAACGATCATATGAAAACTATCTGGTATAATGCATAAACACTATGAGAAGGGTAGAGTCATTTTGACCTTTACATCTCAACCTTCATTTTTCAGATCAATTTCATGTAACACTTGGGATACTCAGTCTGTGGTATACTGAGGGGGCAGCCATCTTTTTTCAAGTCTTATAAATGGGAGGCTGGATGACATTTGAAACTGCTTTATTCACTTTCCTATATTTGTTACCTATTTTCAGATGCCTCGTCTGATAAGTAAATATGGCAGATGGTTTTATTCAATAAATATTTATAGAGAATCTTTGGATGCCAACCACGTATTTATGGTACGAGATATGTTACATCTCATTTTAAGATATTTTTGTGAGTTTTTCTATTTTAAAATATTTTCCCCCTATAATCAGGAAAATAACTCAAATTTTCTGATAATCTAGATGATTTATCATTGACAAGGATTTCTATAGTGTCCCAGATTCAACACTATACCTTCTTACCCAACCATAAAACACTGATAGAATTAACTGAAATGGATAAAACCAAGCAAACAAGTATACAAACAAAATTAACTAGAAGATTTGAAACTGCATATATATTTATAACTAATTATAAAAAGACCTTAAGTTGTGTAACAACTTTATGTTCTATTAGAATTGTATACTTTGAGTCAAAGAGCAATAGAATTAGTCTTGTTTTTATAATAATTACTAGCAGTTTTGAACACTTTTAGAGAGAGTACCAAATGTATAATGACCCTGCTCTAATGATAATCAAAGTCTCTAATTTGTCTGTGACAATAGATTCAAATTCTTAGAGAGAAAGGGATATACCATTTTATATTTTTATTCCCAGGACCTAGCACACAGTAGGTCCTTAGTAAATATTAATTGCTTTTAACTAAATTAAAGGCAGATGGAATTTATATAGAATAAAATAATCTTAAAATTAGTTATAAACCTGAAACCAAAACAAGTTAACATTTTCAAGCATGAAAATAGGTATTTCTAAGTTAATCTCATATAAGACATAAATCAGAACTGAGGAACTCAAATATATATTTTTTTATCTTTGGTTTTTAAGCAAGCAACAGCTATACAAAATGCTTCTGGATATTAAGAACATATTTGTGTAGGATAAGTAATTTACCACGTCTGACATTGAACAGTAGTTGTAACTGACCCCTTCACCCTTCAGACATCTGGTATGTCTTTAATAAATAGTGTATCATAAAAAGTAATAAAGAAGAAAAACTTGCTCAAGGGTTTAGGGTTATAAGCTTGGTGGGCTGTGGGATTATGGATGTATATGCTTTTAATCATGGAAGATTATGAACGTACAATCAGAACTTTTTATTAAAATATAAATAGCTTCCGAACAACCATTGGAATTTGAAATTGAAGCAGTGAGCTCCAAGGGCAATGCAATTTTCTTAACAATAACAGCTTCTATTCGATGAGAATTTTTATTTTGCCAGGCATGATGATAGGCAAATTGAGTTCATTACCTTTTATCCTTAAAATCATCTTAAAAAATAGGTATGGTCCTCAGTTTAATTATGAAGAAACTGAAGTGCAAATTGTTGACCAGACTAGCCACAGGTCACAAAACAAAAACTAGTGTAACAGCATATGACTTTGGGTCTCGCAAATACTAAGGCATATGCTCTTTTGGCTCCCTACGTCTTAGAGTTGTGAGACCAAGATAGCAATAATGTAAACACTTTACATGTATTACCATATTTAATCCTTACAGCAAGCCTGTGATGAAACTGAGGAACAGAGAAGTTATCTGACTTGGCCAAGGGCAGACAGCTGGCATGTGAGACCAGGCTTTGAAGTAGAGAACTACACTGTCTTTAAATAAAATAAATCATGGGGGTACCTGAGGGGTCAGTTGGTTAAGCATTGGACTCATGATTTTGGCTCAGGGTAGTTGTGGGGTGGAGCCCTGCAGTGCAGAGCTTGCTTGGGATTTTCTCTCTCTCCCTCTGCCCCTCCCTTGTTCATTCACTCTCTCTCAAAATAAATAAATAAACTTTAAAAAAGATAACATTATGGATAGCTCCTACTTCAAAGCATGACACATATTAAGCACCAAATAAATATCGGCTGGCTGACCTCTCTCTCTCTATCACTGGCTGTCTTTCTTTCTTTCTTTCTCTTGCAATAGTAAGTTTCTTTTCTCAGTTCCAGAGTCTAGAAGTCTGAAAATTAAGAGTCAGGAAGGTTATGTTCTCCTGAAGGGATCCTGGGAAGAATCCTTCCTTGTTTCTTCCAGCTTCTGATAGCCCCAGTGGTTCTAATTTAGCTTTTGACAGCCTAATTCCAGTCTCTGCCTTCATCTTAACATAACCATCTACCTTTCTATCTGTCTTGGTGTCACCTCTCTTCTTATAAGGCCATTAATCATATTGAATTAGCCTATCCTAATGACCTTCCCTTGATCACATCTATAAAGAATGTATTTCCAAGTAAAGTCATATTTATGGGGTCAGGGGGTCTTTTGAAGGGACATGGTCAGCCTATAATAGCCATGGCATACTCTTAATTAAACTATTTAATGTGTAACTTTCTATAAGACAAAGTCCCTGATTTCTACATATTTCTTTTTTTTTTTAATGTATTTTTGAGAGAGGGAGAGCACGAGTTGGGGAGGGGCAGAGAGAGAGAGAGAGAGGAGAGAGAATCCCAAGCAGTATCCATGCTCAGCACGGAGTCCTATGCAGGGCTAAATGCCACGACCATGAGATCATGATCGGAGCCGATATTAAGAGTTGGATGCTCAACCCCCTGAGCCACCCAGGTGCCCCTATTTCTACATATTTCTAATGCCTTCCATAGAGTGGATACTTACTATTTTGTTGAATGAATCACGAAAATGATAATATGTGTGTACTATGTATATTATATAGGAAAACAAATACTTGATAGGTGGACGACAGCCTCTCATTCCAGCCCTTCCATTTATAAGAGCGTTTAGGTTTATAGAACTATATGGCACAGTCACGACTTCTGCATTACATCTGTTTTGTAAATTCTTGTAGCTGGAGCATTTTCATCTAAATGCCAGGCAATTTGTGACTACTCTTTGTTTTATGACCTTTCAGTTAGTATGTGATCTATTTGACAGTGCTCATCCAGCACCTAGAGCAATTTTGCTTAATATGAGCACAAGTTATCCTGAGACACTGACTTGGGTCTGAATAAATGAAATATAATCCAGTACTTCTTCGATGATCTTCAATCGACTTATCTTCGAATGGCACGACACAAAGACTCATTTTTTCGAGCATGATTAGTTTCTTTGGAAATCTATGCTAATCCTAGCTCATAGTTTAGTGTATTTTCTTACCAGGCTATTTTCATGAATAAGTAGTGTATCATTCTAGTGAAGCTATAAATAAATGTGCTTATGGAGAGAAGAGTTTTTATACCACCACAATATGGCAGATCATTGAACTTCATCATTTCCCTTCATGAATTTAGATGAAATTGGTAGAGACCATTAAGGGATATTTATTTGGTTTTTAGTCATTTTCTCTCTCCACCCACCACACAGGATTGAGAATTTACGAGTGTATTCTTTGCCTCTGCTTAAATAGGACATCTGTTTTTGAGAGCCAGAAGTAATGATTTTTATAACTCTTTTACTACCTTTGTGCCTAGCACAATAAGAGGCATATAGTTGGTGCTTAGCACTTCTAGTTGACTCATGTTCTCAGTCAGCTGAGAAGGGTGTAAAGTTGTGGTTAAGTGTTCATGAACTGATATCATATAAACCTTGGGTCTAATCTTTGATTCCTACTGGCTGTGTAATTTCGAATTAGCAATAATTGTGCCTCGGATAAACCTCATTGGCTATAATGCTGCCACTCCGCAAAGCTCTGGCTGTATGATTTTGAACAAGTTTAATCTTTAGATTTTCATCTGTGCATTGGGGCAAATAATAGCCCCGTACCTTGTGGGATCAGAATGTGGTTGGTACATTGTAAAGGTTGGAAATAATATTGGCGGGGCACCTGGGTAGCTCAGTCAGTTAAGCGTCCAACTTCAGCTCAAGTCATGATCTCATGGTTTGTGGGTTTGAGCCCCGCATCAGGCTCTGTGCTGACATCTCAGAGCCTGGAGCCTGCTTGGGATTCTGTGTCTCTCTGCCTCTCTCCCACTAATACTCTGTCTCTCTTTTAAGAATAAATATTTAAAAAAAAACAATAATATTGGCAATATTACTGGCATTAGTTATTTATTTTAAAATATTTATTGAACACCTACTATAGTCAGGGCCTGAGCTAAGGGTTAAGGAAATCAAGTTTTTGACTTTAGGAAGACCAGGAAATGACAAGATACATAATAGGATGTGATAAGCATTATAACCCATCATGTGAAAATATGGCACAGCAAGTGTCTAAATGAGTAAGAAAATCAAGGAAGAATTCAGAGAGAAAGGAGTATTTGATCTGATACCTAAAGATAAATCAGATCAAAGCAGGGAAATCACAGGTATTTAAATATATGATTAAATAGCTCTTTTATCTAAGTACTTTCACAGAATTTGCATGTTTACAAGTATATTAGGGTTCTCTAGAGAAACAGAATTAGTAGTAGCAATCCATGAACCTGACAGCATCCCATCCAGTGAGTAGAGAGCCGCTCTGAGGAGTTGTACACAGTAAAAGGTTTTTATAGATGAGAGGGTGGGGCAAGAAGTTATTAGCAAAAGAAAAGAAAGGATTGTTTCAGCGTGCAGGACCCCTTTATGAGATGGAGGCAATGATAGGGTTTTTATTATGCAGATGACTTCACTAGGGCTGATCAGGAAATTTTAGATTGACTATTAAAAGGTCACATTCTTGGGATAGGTTGAAATTGTTGAAATTGTAAGTAATCTTGGTTTGCTGTCCTGGGGGTGGGGGCAAATGGTTCCATTTTGGGCTTGTTTCTTTTTAAACAGATCTGTATCTATGTCATGAGATATTTATGAGGAATTGGCTCACATGATTATGGAGGCTGAGAGGTCCCACAATCTGTCATCTGCAAACTGGAGACTAGGAAAACTAGCTGGTAATTCAGTTCAGATTAGAAGACTTGGGAAGTAGAGGAGCCAGTGGTCTAAATCCCAGTCAGGGGGCCAGAGAAGATGAGATGAGATGAGATGATGCAGCTCCTACAGCGAGGTAGGGAAAGGGTGAGTTCCACCTTCCTCCACCTTTTGTTTTACTCAGGACCTCACTGGATTGGATGGTGCCACCTTATGAAGGAAGGGATCCGTGATTCAGATGCTGATCTCATCTGGAAACACCTCCCAGACACACCCAGAAAGAATGTTAAATTTGGCCATGGAAAAGAGGACAGCAGACAAAGAGAAGAAGAAACTGCATTGAAGGACACTACCCAGGAGTAGAACATACCACTTCCATCACAATTAGCTGGCTTTAGCTGGTGGCAAATTAGTCACGGGGCCTTACCTTAGTTGCAAGGGAGCCCGGAATCTATAGTCTTCAACCAGGAGGCCAGCACTCTGCTGAAACCCGGCGGTTTCATTATTAAAAATAGGAAAGGAAGAATGGATACTAAGGAATAATTAGTCATCTGTATCACATGCATGTCAGTGCACAGTTCTCTCGGGGTGATCTTATTGTCTACATTCAATGGATAAGATAGTTGAAATTCAGAGAGAGGAGAGTACTTGTCAGAAGTCACTTAAATATGTAGATCAAAGAAGAATGATTATAATCAAGGCAGCAGCACTATACTAGGTTCTCAGCTCTAAAAGAGAAGAAAAATAAATAGCTACTTAATGTTGTTTTGCCACCCATCCGAAAGCAGGCAGCTGCAGTTTTCACATGCCATTGGCAAGCCTGTTTTTCAGGCAATCTTGTGGGAGATGACATAACAGGAAGAAAATTAAATCATTGAAAGTGGTAGCTAGAGTTAAGCCCTTGGGGGCTGGGGGGAACATGGTTTGTTTTCAATTACTTGATGATATGATTGTACAGGTCTCAAATATTCTCCTATATGCCTTGGGTAGTTAAAATCTCCATTTTTTAAACCATCAGCTTTAGTTGAATTTTCAGTTTGAGAGGAAAACCTGGGAACACAAATAATACAAGTTTGCACACAGAACAGATTCAACCCTGAAAATATGGGGATGACAAGGTAATAAAAAACATAGGAGCAAAAACATTGGACAAGCCTATCCATTTGCCAAAATTTTGAGGTCAGATGTCCATGAGCCATGAAATTGTTTAAAAATTGCCCCGGATAAATAAATATATGTCTGGAAGGGTTGCTTACACAATGATGTTTGAGCTTTCTCCTTAGGAAAATGAGAGGGAAAATGTTGTAGAGCCAGTGATAATAAGAATACTAGGGAATGTATCCATGCATTAAGATGACATTTTCAGGGGCACCTGGGTGGCTCAGTCAGTTAAGCATCTGACTTCGGCTCAGGTCATGATCTCACGGTTGGTGGGTTCAAGCCCCACGTCGGGGCTTGACGTCTGAGCTGCTGACAGCTCAGAGCCTGGAGCCTGCTTCAGATTCTGTGTCTCCCTCGATCTCTGACCCTCCCCTACTCACGCTGTCTCTCTGTCTCTCTCAGAAATAAATAAAATATAAAATTTAACAAAAAAAAGATGACATTTTCAGCAGTACATGATCACTGCTTCACTCCTCCCATTAATGAGGAGAAATTTCTGAGCAGCTTCAAGTATTCTTTAATGTTTTATTGAGAGAGAACATGCAAGCAGGGCAGGGTCAGAGAGGGGACAGAGGATCCAAAGCAGGCTCCACGCTGACAGGCTGACAGCAGTGAGCACAATGTGGGGCTGGAATTCAAGAACCATGAGATCACTACCTGAGGCAAAGTCAGATGGTTAACCAGTGGAACCATCCATGTGCCCCAGAAGCTTCAATTAATTTAAAACAATCTTATGGGGGCCCTGGGTTGCTCCGGTGGTTGAGCATCTGACTCTTGATTTCAGATCAGGTCATGATCCCAGGCTCTGCTCTGAGTGTGGAGCCTACTTAAGATTCTCTCTCTATCTGCCCCTCTCTCTCCACCTATGAGTGAGAGAGTGCCCCTCTCTCTCTCACCTATGAGTGAGAGAGTGCCCCTCTCTCTCTCTCTACCTCTCTTTCTCTCTAAAAAACAAAACAAAACAAAACAAAAACTTAAAAACTTTTAGGCATTAAAAGTGTTAAATCAACTATCAATTATTAAATGAGTTATAGCTTTTTAAAATCCTTTGACTTTTTTGTATTGTATTAGACTCAGATTCCACTGGTTTTTACACTCCTATTTTTACCTTATCAATCCTCATTAAAGAAAAGTTGAAAGGTAACTTTGGAGGGTTGTAGGGAAGTTTTAGTAGGAGGCAACAAATACTCCACACCAAGAAACTAGAATCTGAAAACAGATGTGCATGTATATGGAGTATCATCATTGAAAAGAGAATCTCAGTTGATTTCTTTAGTGAAATTAATTGTTTAATAAGAGCCACAACAAAAGAATGCTGTGTCCTCAGCATCTCACATTACAATCATCACCTCTATAGATTCCTCCTTTTAGTGCCCCGATTCACCGAAAGCTGATGAATAAAGTCAGAATTCTCTGGGGTGCCCAGGTGGCCCAGTCGGTTAAGCTTCTGACTTCAATTCAAGTCATGATCTCATGGTTCATGGATTTGAGTGCCACATCAGACTTTGTGCTGACAACTTGGAGCCTGGAGCCTATTTCGGATTCTCTCTCTCTCTATCTCTCTCTCCCTCCCCCCCCACTCATGCTCTGTCTCTTTCAAAAATAAATAAACATCAAAAAATTAAAAATAAATGAATAAATAAATTCAGAATCCTAGTATAAGTCGCTTTTGGAAAGATTTCTCTCCGTGGTCATCAATCAATATTTGAATAATAAACACTCAGTGAGCCCTGTAATATTAATTTTCCAGTGTGCAGAATTAGGCAAAATTTTTAACTCTGATAATAGAAAAATGGAGTTAAGACTTTATGCATCTTAATTTGAGGATTTTATAAAATCCACTTCCTTTATGTTCTATTTATCCTGTCTTTGAGGATGTCTGAAATTCTTACCACTTTATTCAGTCCTTTGGGTAAGGCTGTGTGCGTATTAGTGTGTTAGGGCTACCATGACAGTGTAGGGGCCAAGGGCAGCCTGCTCCAATATGGGTCATTTAGGCATGAAGATTATTTTGACTAAAAATGCAATCAAAACCTAACTAATTCAGGAAAATCTTTTAACCTCCCCTTCAGCTACCTCAATTTGCATTGAGAAACTTTACCACAAAGAGAGCTATTAAAGAGATTCCTTTTTACCTAAGAAACATCTGCATAACAGAGCAAACTTCCCTCCCCCCCCTCTCCCCAGATATCTCCTCTTACCTCTCCACTAATGATTTTCCCTCCTCTTTAAGATTCCTACTCCTCTCCTTAGCCATTAGCCCAGGATGTCAGGTAAGCTTCCTGTTGCCTGTCTTTGGAATTTCATGTCTGTGGATTCCTTATACTTAGGAAACTAAATTTTATTTTCTCCTGTTCATCTGTTTCATGCAAATATAATACTTAGTCCAGCTAAAAGAACTTTGAACAGAGAAAAATTTCTTCCTCCCCAGTAACAGAATACCACAGACTGGGTGGCTTCAACAATAGACATTTATTTTTAACAGTATTAGAGGCTTCAACTCCAAGAGCAAGGTACTGACAGAGTTGGTGTCTGGTGGGACCTTTCTTCTGGGTTGCAGAAGGTTACCTTCTCACTGTGTCCTAACATAGTCTTTCTTCCATGCATGAATAAGAGGGTTGGGGGGGAGACAGGGAGAGAGAGAAATCTCTATATTAGGAACTCTTTTAATTTAAGTTTAAATAT